AAGATGGGTCTTATTTTTGACCGACCTGGCATTGCAAAGGAGCAGGCTTAACTGGCAATTATTATCACCAAATCACATTTTAGGGTTGTTGTTTTTTCTTCTGCCCCTAAAACATCTTGTATTGCCATCAAAACAAGTTGTTTGCCATGTCTGCCTACAAATCTGCTATCAGTGAGGGCATGACCTGAAGTGCTGCCCCATTTTTTTTTTCCCCTTTTGGTGCAGGACAGTTCTTCAGACATATTTTAAAAGACTGAAGCAAAAAGCTGAAGGCCTGAAGAAAAAAGAAGCCCTAGGTCATAAACCTCTACCTCGTTCACCAGTTTGGGCATTCGTAGAGCTAAAGTATCCCTGACAGATGCTTTTACTGCCTGTTCAAACCTTCAAGTGATTCTACATCACCTTCCTAGAGAGTTTCCTCATCCATCAGACCTTGCCACTCCTCCAGGAAAGTAGCAGATCCTGTCTAGGAAATTTCATGAGCTGTCATGGATGTGGGAATAGAGAAAGATGTAGCAGCCTGGATATACATAAATGTCAGAAACCATTACTTGCCCATTTATAAATTTAGATGGAAGGTACTTCTGACACAACACCTTGACAGTTCAGAGAGGCAAGAGGATAAGGTGGGTGCTGCAGTGGACTTTGTGAACCGGAGAGAAAGTGTGGCCTGAGGGTGGAAAAACCTACCATTGCCTTAAATTTTCACTGCTTGTGCATGGGAATTTGAAATATTAAACTGAGATTGTTTACTGTACATGCTCTGAGGGCTAGCTGGATAGGGAGGGTAGAAGAGACACCAGGATCTAGGAAGCTACCTGGAAGTATATTCTTCTGCATAAGGATATACTTCTTACAGGTATCTCTTCACCAATCTGCTCTTCCCCCAAAGCCTTAAAAATCCATCAAGTGCCTCATTTACATAACAGTCCCTGAAAGTTTACAGCAATTGTGCTGCATGTTCTTTAAGCAAAGATATTTCTAAATAATTGTAAACTGGATTTTATATTTTAAAATATTTTTCTCTCCAGAGACAAGAATTACCAGCTAGAAAGTTTCTTTTTTGTTCAATAGTTAAACATTGTTCTGTCTCTTAAAGATTTCACAGGTAACTAAAGAAAAGTTCTTAATATAATAAGGGGTTATTTAAAAAAAATTCTTTTTAAACAAAAGGTCCAGATTTTTTAAAAGAGACTTGGAATGTAATTCAGAATTCAAATGCTCATGACAGAAACCTGAAATCACCAATGATTTGTTATACACTAATTTTGCAAAGCTTGGTGCTCCTATATCTTTTTCCTTGTTTTCCAGTGTGCTTTATAGTATAATTAAGCATATCAGTGCAATGGCATGTGCTTGTTAAAAGACCAACCTTTGGTACTTAATTGTAGTTAGCCATCATTTGCTCTATTAAAAGGACATCTGCAAATATACAACAAGGCAGGCAGATCCCCTAGGAATCTAACCCACTATCTTCAAAATCCACACACAGCTCTAACCTTCCCTTTGGCTGAAAAGGGATGGACATGTTTCCCCTCTAGAGCCTATTAAAACCACTCTGTTAAGTGACCAGAGGCTGTTAACGCATTAATGACATTAGTTGCTTCTTTACCTTCCGGGACTTTGCGCAAAGCTTCCCCCTCCCCACTTTTTGGGGTGACACTAATAGTATTTCTACAGAGGATTGGATTTGTTGGCTATGCTGATCGGAATAATGCAAGCTAATGCCATCCTCATTTCTAAAGGCCATCTTCTTTAATGCTTTATATTCAGTAGAGTGAGTTTTAATATCACCCTTAAGGGGTGATTGGTCTTATCTGCAGCTTTTGAGATCACAGTTGGTAATTGGTGTCTCCTTTAATTTTTATCCCACTGATACACTTAGCTAAGAAAGTGCTCCCAGCCATATGGTAATGCAGCTGTACTAGACAGTAAGTGCAGGTTTACCTTGTCCAGCTTCTCCCTTGAGTCAAAGAGTATATTCAGTGCAGAAATAACCAAACCAAAAATATCAAGTTGGGGGCAAAGATGAAGGGTTTCATGAAGGCTTCCAGAAATAACACAGCAAGGTCATTGTATACACAACATAAGCAAAGAGTTACCAATCACTGTTACATAATCCTTGAACCTCAACACTCGTGCCATTGAGTGCAGCTATATTTAAGGCACTGTTTGGATTTTAAAATAAAGTTGTAATTTAAGCCAGCTATTATTAAATCCCTCTTCCATAGGTTAGGAAAAATAAAAGTTGGAAGGGAAATGGTTGGTGAATAAATTGAGTCCAAACAGTATGATGTAAAGAATAACTTTTTAATCTATGAAACATTTTATGTCACACATTTTAAATAAATAATATTAGCCTGTTGGACTCTGGTCCTCATTAGAACAAACAAGAACCTCTGTAGACACACACCTTGGTTTCGTATCACACTCAGCATCTTTCTCAGATAGTTCCCCACTTTTAGGAATTACCTAGTACTATGAAACCGACTTTCAAAAGTTGCTTCTTCTCTCATGTTTGCCAACAGAGGGCTACAAATTATGCAGTAAACGTTAATGAGAAAGAAATGGGGGGAAACCCTCCATACAGCCAATTTCCATAATGGGATTAGTGCACTAAGTATCCATGCCATAATGTTTTCATTCAAGTTATATCCTGAAGCATATCCCACATTTATACAGCAGGAGGGAGACATAGGGGTGAGCCAGGTGAATAATTACTGGGCCTCCAAGAGACATATCTGAGGCTATAACTGTGTACACACATACCTGAGGGTAAGCTCCACTCAGTGGAGTTCATCTGACAATGGGTTTACGCAGGTCTGCCAGCATGCTAATGAATTCAAATCAATGCATACTGCCTTGTCCACAGCAGTGCACAGAAATGCTGAAGTCACGCAGAAGCCCTCTATATTAACATGACTTTAGGCATCCCTTTTGCTTTTTGTGAAGTGATTTGATGCTACAGAGTCACAGTCTGACTCATAAGTTGTCAGTGAAGATTGACTTCAGTCAATCTAAATACTGGGCCTTTGACTTCAGTCATCTAAATACTGGGCCTTAAAAGCCAATCCACTTCATTTCACCTGAATTGGTTGGTTGGTTAGGCTCGAAATATGTTTTCTGAGAGCAAACAGGATTGTACATTTTTCTGCTACACAATAATAGCAATTTTGCTTTAACTAAGATTAACTGCACATATGCCTTTCAGAGAGTTCATTAGCACAAGAGTGTCTTTTTACCTCTCTTTATATTTCTGCCAAGGTGCTAGTCTAGACAAAACTAATAACTGTGAAACTGTGTTCCAAAATGGCGCCCGGAGTCGTGCCATGCGCATGACTCCGGACACCATTTTGGAAGACAAAATGGTGTGCGGAGGCAGCAGGACCGGCCATGGGCCGGTAGGAAGGCCTCAACAGGCTGGGTCTGGCCTGTGGGCCGTAGTTTGGGGACCCCTGCCCTAGGCCTTACGTCTAAGTTACAGAAGGGTAGATTTCAATTGAACATTAGGAGGAACTTCTTGACAATGAGAGCTGTTTGGCAATGGCAATTGCCTAGAGAAGTGGTAGGGTCTCCTTCTTTGGATGTCTTCAAAAAGAGGCTGGATAGCTACCTGTTGGGGGTGCTCTAGCTGGAGATCTGGACTGATGGCCCATAGGGCCCCTTCTAGCTTTATGATTCTCTATTACTGAATGGGTAATTTCCTTTTGATACCATGGCAAAGGTTAAAACTAGTTTTTCATCATGGTTTCTGTACATTCT